TATGCAGGGATAATTATTAAGAACTAACTAGTGCCATGTGTATGTTTAATGAACACCAAGGAAAGCAGTGTAAAGAAATAAAGGCTATTAATTGCCTAGCATAAGTCACTTAGCATTAGTAGCTGTATTTGCTGAAGCCTCAGCCCACAAGCTGTGAACTTTCATCTTCTGTATTTCTGTGTGAGTCCAATTTCAGCATTAGCCTCTTACCCTGGGAGCACAGACTCACACAGCTCTACCTCTATAAACAGAACAAAAAGTGACTGAAATAAGAGCAATGCAAGCTTTGCTGAACCTTCCCTTCCCAATTTTCCCCTGAAAAGATAAAGAAAAGCATGAAGCTATGAAAAGATAAGATGTTTTTAAAAAGATGGCCTATATGCCAGAGCCCCCATCTCTCCCCAGGTGTCCTGCTCTCATTAAAACAAGTATAAGCACACACAGTACAGTAATTGCTCCCATTCCAGAAACAACTTCTAATACCTTTGCTGATCTCCACATTGGGCAGAGCAAAGATCTCCAAGTCCATGGTCCCTCCTTTTGCTGCACCTTCAGAAAGATCCAAAAGAACCACCTTGTCTGCAGCACCCTGTATGAATAAAAATAATGCAGGTAAACAATAAAACAAGTCAATTCTTCAGAGGACAAGGAAAAAAAAACAAGTATTTCTGCAATTCCAGTGCTTGTTGTACTGTGTATAAACCAACTAAAATTACTGATTAAAATTACTGTAAAATTAGTTTAGTTTACTGAGTTTAACTAGAAAATAATGCATAAAAAAACCCCAAAACACTCACAAAACCACCTCTGGGAAGTTAAAAATGTTGATGTTACTGTTGTCTGAGCATACAGATGTAACGAAGTACACACCATCTACAGATTATACTTTTCCAGGTGACGAGGAGATCCCAGTGGGAAGAGACTACCACTCAGGCAAGAATTCTTTAGCCAAGGATTTTCAAAATAAGTGAATTCAATATTTAACCCTTTATATTAAAAAAGTTGAGAAAACAGGGCAGAAACTAACACTTCTGTGTGTCTGTAAGTTAACTGAAGAGGCAGATGACATAAGCAGTGACACAGCTACAAAAAATGCTGAGTTATTTCTATGTGTCAGATGCTAAGAACTAGATTGGAAGCCTCTATATTAATTTGCTCTGTTGTTATCTATAATAATTATGTACCTTTGCTGCAACTGCCAGCACACATGCAATGCCAAGATCTCCAGCTCCAACAACAGTAATTTTGTTAAAACCTTCATTTTTGCCTCCACCAATTTTACTCCTTGATTTCATGTCAGACTCTCCTACAATTAAAAGGAAAGCACAGAGTTAAGTGCAGGCCCACAGTGTATCCACACACGTATTGCTGCTTCATAAAGGATCACAGTTGTGCCAGAGTTAAACCCAATTACATACACTTCTTCAAAACAGCAAGTCAAGCCTGATCACAGAAAATTCATCACAATTTGCAAGGTGTAAAACACAAATATTCAAATAGATAGGGCTGTTCTTTCACTAAGTAGAAAATATGAGCATAAGAATAGCAGGAAGCTGGACACTAAGACCACACAAACAATACTCCCTTTGCCACCATTCCAGGTGTGAACATAGATCATGGTCATAAAATTTGTAAAGGATTTCATATTTTGAAAAGACATGCAAAATGGAATTTGATTAAAATACAACAATCTGAGGTTGTTCAGCCAGCACTACTGGTAACACAATGCTTGTCATTCTGAGTATTAATTAAAATAGAGAAATTACAATTAATCAGTTAAGATTGATTGCCTAGAGATGTGTATTGTACACAGACACGTGTGTCCTCACCAGCATGTATGTGTGCACATTTACCAGAAGAAACAGCAGAAAAAGATTAGAGAGAGGTTTGTCCTGGCTGCCACGTATCACCATGCACGATTTCACTAGAAGGAAGAAATGACTGACCTGAAGAAAACATGTCAGGATGAAGAACAAGACAACTGGTCCCATAAAGTACCCAGATAAGGAAAACATGAGAACAGTAAAATTCAGGAATTTTGCCCAAGACTTACAATGGGTGACATAAAGTAATGAGGCAAAAACACCAAATAGCATCCACTCCTGAAGGGTATAAAAGACAAGTCCAAAATCAGTTTGTCACCACTGAACAAGAAGAACCCAAGAGACATGACATGGACTCAACAGCCAGCACTCCTCATCCTCAGTGTTGCACAGCAGGGACTGTGGTCAGAGGGGTCTCAGGGCTGGGGACTGTGGATGTGAGAGTGTGAGTGAGTGAGATCTGAGAGAACAAATGGTTGCGATGGGGCAAAATCAACTTGTTTGTAATAAAATCATGTTTCCTTACCACAAGATCACGCATTGAGTTTTGCTGCAGTCATTTCCAGCAAATGAGTAGTACCAAGTCTACAGCATTTTTCAGCAGTCTTAAATGCAAACATCCAAACTGAGCTGCTTACTCAGAGAGAACCTGAGCTCTGTTCAAAAAGTGGCACTTTTGATTATACAGAGAAAATATCAAACCCTGTTGACATGCAAACACCAAAAATTCAGGTACTAAAATCATGTAGGCATCTTTGTGATACCAAGTAGTAACAATAAACAAAACTACTATGGTAGGATACTATTGTATCACCCTATTGCATAAGAATATTACAAGCAGATCTGTGAAGACATCCTCACCTTCAGTAATCTTTGCAATGTAGGAAAGGAGTTCTGACTGCCTGGCTGCATCAGAAGATGACAGTGAACACAAAGGGAGCTCTTCCTCAAATTTTGCAATCATTTCCTTGATTAATCCAATGATGGTTGATTTTGGCTGAAATACAGCAATACAGAAGACAGAACAGTTGACTAGATACTTCCTACAGTGCCATCAGTTGTAAATTGCAGTAGCTCATAGAGAACCATAGCTGTATAAAATGTAACCAAATTATAAATATTGACACCCTTAACATTTATAAAAACACTTAAGCATCACTTTTTGAGAAGATACTTGCTAAACAGGAGTATGGATTAAAAGGAATCTAACAAAATGGAATCATAAAACTGAAATGATCAGTGCAGCTAGTTTTTGAAGGCATCCATGAACACATGGAAGCCTTTGATGCAGCCACATCCAGTATTATAAATGGGACAAATCATAGTTAGAGATAGTTCAGTCTTCTCAGACAGGCTTAACTGTCCAGAGTTTTGGCAATTCAGTTGTCCTTTGGGCAAAACACAAAACAGGAAAAAGTATCATGAGCCTTGCATTGCTTTGTAACAAAGTCACCCCCTTTTTCCTTCAGCTTAAAATACTTTTCCTTAAAATCACTGATGACTTCCTTTACAATTGCTTCACTATCCAAAAGCTTCTCTTCACATAATGATTACATATTTAAGGTTAAAAAAAAAAAGACAACACAACACAGAAAAGAAGCAGCCCCAAACCCTGCCCACTCCTCTCCATGGAGCTCCAGGTGACACCCTGTGTTATTCCCAAGGACTTCCCCCCTGTCAGCCACTCCACCTCTTACATGGCTCCAGTTCTGCAGGTAGGGCAAATAAATCCTGCCACGAGCATCAACATGCTTTCCCACCAAAATGCCCATGTTCACAGTCGGCTTCAAGAAGCAAATGGGGGGAGCAAAGGGATGAGAGTCCAGAATCCACAGACGAATAGGGATGTTATAGGAATTACCTGTTCCACACAAAACAAAAGCCATTACTTGCTTCTGCATTGGGAAGAGGCACTAAAACCCAGGCATGTGTGAATGTGATTCACACTTCATAACAAAGATAAAAAGTCTGACAGATCACTCCCTAGATTCTCACTGGGAAGTATTTATGTTATTTAGGCTAGTTAATAGAAACAGACTACTCTGAAGTGCTACCAATTGTCTCTTTCTTACTATAAACCTTTGTGTTTTCTTTCCCTGGGTATTCTATCAGCCAACACGTTCCCATTTCTGGGCAAAGAAATCTCTTACAGCTGCCTGTTTCATACTTATTTTAGGACACAACACATGCAAAGAGGCATCTATTAAGAGCTTTACTTCAGACTTCAGAGGCTTTAAGTTAAAAATAAAAAAATTACCTCCTAGTTATTTTTGTACACTGCCTGTACAAGCAGAGGGCTTGCAGAGTTCATGCATTCTCAACCAGAACCAAGGAGTTTGCCTACACAGTCTCAAACAACATGATTTTTTTGTAATGGTTAATTAATGTATCTAATTAATACCACCTTATTTTAGCATCTGTGTGTACATGTACATTGTTTATGCAGTAGAAATTGCTTCTGCCAATTAATGCAAAATCCTTGATAGACACCTTTAAAGAAGCTGCACAGTACAGTCTTCAGAGGCAGCACCTAACACATTTTATAGTTAGATTCATAACTGGTAAGGAAATTATTTTTTTTATTTATCTTACCATATTTCACTGGAACAGTACCACTAAAATTCAGGAGGTCCTTCTGGGATCCATCCTTGAAGGCTGAAATTGAAAATGTGATTTTAAATAACACTAATAGATACTCTCCCAAATCTGGTGTGACAATCCCATCCATAATGGCCTATATATACCATTAATTTTTCTTCAGAAAACAAATACACTGCTACTGAAAGAACCAAGGCCAGAATGTTACAAAAGTATGCCCTCCCTTTTTGAGATAATTCTTTAATGGAACCTTAATGAAAATTGCATTGGGACAACCAAACACATCACTAGTCTGAAAATCCCTTGTCCTGGGTAATTCCAGTGTTGTAGAAACTTTCAGTCAGGCTGAAGGATTCTGGAAGTTACATCTGATAAACTAAATCAAAATACTTTCAATACAATCATGGGATATGGAAAAAAATGCTGTTACATACAGAGAATTTCAGAGGACATCAATCTTCTACAATTACTGACCAGTTAAAATAAAATTAAATTCAGTGAATGAGTCAGTTAGGTTTTTATATTTATGCATTCTTGGAAAAGCTTCCAAAACTAGACACATAGCATGAGAAATTTTACTGCCAGTCAAAATAAAGATATTCACACTATTTAGGTTCAATTATACCTAGCCTGAATTTATAGCAACTAAGAATCCCCACAATTAGTTCAAAGTAACTGTATCACTTCTTACTATATGTGTTCATGGAGAACGTGAAGTTTGGGTAGGTCTTGTTAACATTCTTTAGTTCTTCTATGGTCAGGTCTCTGAACTTGTACTGGGAAGGGAGGAGAGAATAAAATCAGAAAAAAAAAGTTTCACTTCAAAGGCTTCTTTTTTCATTACCAGAGATAGGGAAAAGGAATGAAGAGAAGGTAGAAACACAAGAGGAGTAAGGTAATAATTACTTGTATTATAAAACTCTTTACAAGAGTTTTGGTGTGAAATTAATTCTTAAAATAATTTATTTTAAAAAAGAAAAGCTTTGAAGGTATTGCAGGTATGCTGTTCCTACATTAGAACTCCAATTTTGAACTTCACCCCTTACAGACCATTTCTTCCCCTATACAGCTGTGTGAGCAGAGGCTTAATAAAATTTAGTCTCCTCTGCATACAACAATTAAAGACAATGTAAAAATATAAATCCCTTAGAAAACAGTCGTCTTACTACTGGCATGGTTACTATAAAAAAACTCAGATCTGCACACATTTTAGAAGAGTTTCATATGATGTTGATTTTCACAAACATACTAAGTGTGCAGGTAATTAGCCTCTGGGATTTTTTTCCCCAATGCTGAAGGTGTCCTTGAGAGCTGACAAAATTAAAACAAACTAACACATCCCTCTTTCCTGCCTGGAGAAAACCTGCTCACAGATCAACAGAAGTACTGATCCTTGAAGTGTGATCTGAAAGCAATTATCAGCAAGAATTAACCACTGTTACTTCATTTACACTTTCCTCAGTACGGATTAGGGTTTGGATTTATATATGAATCTATATACTCTAGGGTTTAGATACCTGAACTTCCAAGAGATTTGCATCCTCTGATATCTGAAAGTTATGAAGAATATTTTGCATTTCCTAGATTAGATCATCTACTTCTCATTTTAGGGAGTCTAGAGTTGTCCTGGAATCCTCCCCCAAGCAAACACAACTGCAGCTTGACAGTGGCTCAAGGAAAAGCTCAGTGCACTAGAATACCTTTCACTGAGTAGTAGCTAAAATCTACAACCCCATCAGGAATGCACCCCCCAGAAACAGCAGCAGTGCTACAGCTATGTGGATGGCACGATTATTTCCCACTTTGTACAAGAAAACATAAAGCTGCTGAAAAGAAACTCAGCTTCTCCTCATGAAGTCCTACAGGCTCCTGAAAAGTCAAGCAGTAACAAGCAAATAAAAACCAAAGGTACCCAAATTAGGAATGTCTACAGAACACATTTTCAAAAGTGCTGGTTGTGAAGTCAGAGTTATCCTTTCCCAGCATTCCCTTCTTATTTGTAATACAAAAAGAATCAATCCTGTTAATTTTTTTTCTTTTTTAAAGCTCAGAGGACTTAACAGACAGGTCAGATACAGAGGTGTCACCTAGTCGCACCTAAAATTATCGGGCACGCCCAAAATTTAAACGCGTATTCCGCAGTTTCTCACACGACAATTAAAAGGCCTTCACCTCAGAGAAACGATGTACAAATAAATCTGCGTTTCTCAAGCGTGGCCATACTAACTCAGGGTAAAAAAAACCGAAGCAAAGGAGGAACTCTCCGCCTGGCGGGAACTTCGTCCGGCGGGGGCCGCCGGGCACGGGCACGGCCTCGCCCACACTGCGCGCCCGCCTCTG